GGCTGTCCGTCCGTCCGTCCGTCTGTCTGTCTTCCCGGCGCTCTGAACCGCGGCGCTTTGAGCTTCTTAGCTCGGGGACGCGTCGGCCACCGCCGCCCTCTCCCATGTCGGTGGCCCTGACGAGGTTGGGGGAGAGGGTGCCGAAACGCGCCCAGGAGCCAGCAAGGCATGAGGGTGCAAACCCGACCTGTCTGGCTGATGCTCTGGGGGGGCCTGTGCTCAGGGGGGGCTGCACCACCGCTCAACGATGTGCTGTCCAACCGAACCTGCAGGGCGGGCCCTTTCCCAAATCCGTGCTTCAGTGCGGATCGTAAGCGCGCCTCGTCTCCGTCGTCGTCGTCGTCGGCGGCGTCGCCTTGGTGCGTGTTGCTCTGCTCGGGATTCTGTTTCCCTTATGCAGTAACCACCACCACCACCTCCTCCCCCCCCTGGATTTGGACAGGCCTTTTCGCGAGGTATCAGAGGGCGTTGCCTGGCCTCGGCGAGAACGCGAACACCATTGATTTTACTCGGGTTTTGCCCATGTGCTGGCCCCCACCCAGAAGCGGGCAACGTTAAGTAAGTACGGCCCCTCCTTTGACCGATGTCGTCCAAGATGGCCCCAAAACGGCCCGTGAGGTTCCCAAGGGCGCCCCCAGACGGCCCCAAGAGGTGCGCAGGAGGCCCCAAGAGGCCACCAAGAGGCTCTCAAGAGGCCCCCACCAGTCCCCCCCAGATCCCCAACAGGCCCCATGATTGCAAAAGGGACCCCCATGACGCCCCAAGAGACCCCGTGGGAGCTACCAAAGGACATCCGAAGGGACTCCGAAATGCATCCAAGAGGCATCTGGCCTTTCTGCTCGCCCTCCTCCACTTCTCCTCCTGTTGCCCATCCGCCTGTAGCTGCCCCTCCCTCCTCCCCCTCTCAATCCTCGTCCTGCTTTTCCTCCGATTCCTCCTCCATCCTGCCCCATTTGTGGTACGATGTCTTGCCCAGCCCGTTCTTCCACTGCATGCTCCTCCGCGTTCCTGATCAGGGCAACTCGTCTGGGCATCGTTCCTGGATGGGCCCGCGGGGATATTTTTTTGATTGCGAGTGACGCGGGGGCAGCCGCGCGCCGTGAAAGGGTCGAACGGCACAGAGCCATGGCGAACAGCGCAACTGTCGCCAGCGAGGCGCAGGAAAAAAAGGCCACGATGGTGGCGAAAACTACCAGGCGAAGCGCAGCGGCAACGCGGCAGGGGCGAACGAAGAAACAGAGGAAGAAGGCGAAAGAGCGAGCAACAAAATAAGAAAACGAAAAAACACGAGCGGAGAGGAGGGGAAACGAGGCGAAACGGAAGACAGGGCAAACCTCGGCTCACGCTCACACCGGGTGGGAGACGACCGTCGCTTGCCGAATAACTGGGACTTGTAGTAAGGCTCACCCTAGCTAGTACGAGGCGGGCAGCTTTACCGTCACAGAGGGGCCGTAAATATGGGGGACGAGTGCGCGTCGAGCACGCAAGCACCATCCGTCAAGTCAGTTCCGGGACCGCGTAGTCCGCTGGAGGTCGCTGCCACAGCGAGCCACGAAGCACGAAGGGGCAAGCCACGAGTTCAGCCAGGCTAGCGTACGGCACCGTCTCGAATCCTCCGCCGATGAAGTACACCAGTGGCGACGGTGTCATACCAAGCCAGCCGAGGGGGGATGGCCAGCCCGGGCCTGCCACGTACGCGACTCAGGGCGGGGGGGTGCGCCGCCTGAAACCAGGAATTAGCTCGATGGGGGACCAGTTCAGACACACCAGGCGGGCAGCCTCTGTGCGAAGGGGGGGCACCATCGCCTGAGACCTGCAGCGCACTGGAACAGTTTGGTGACTGGCTTGGGAGCAGCAGCGGGGGACCGTGGGGTTACGCGAAACGCCTAGAATTTCGAAGCCAATCAAGCCGTGTCGACGAGGGCCTCCCAGGAAGCCCCAAAAACCGAAATCGAGAAAAAGGCTCCCAACACTCACACACACACACACACACACACACACACACGCACACACACAAACACACACACATACACAAACAGCGCATGAGCGGACACGCGCGGCAGCGCGGTTGGATGAGGTACATGCTGTCGCGCCTGCCCCTGCTCGATGGCAACATCCGAACCCTACCCCCTGCAGAATCAATTCTTCTGAATCCATGGGGGGGCGGGGGTCGGGCTCGGAATTCGCCACCTGTTCGACGAACTCCCAACCCTGCCCCAGCAACCTCGGCCACAACAGACGACATTGAATGGAATTCGCCGGCCTAGTGGGCCAGAGGCGTGCTGAGATCTCCGGCAACTGGCAAACAATATTTCTGGTTCGCGCGGGCGGGGCGGCCCCTGGGGGTCCGCGGCCCGAAAAGCACCCCGAGCAGGTCCCGGGCAGGACCCCAGCAAGTCCCCATCAGAGATGGTTCTGCTCCTGGGCTTATGTTGTTCCCATCGTACTTAAAGACCACATCCCAGAAACAAGTTCGAGCACACAGAAAAGTGTCGAAACAGCGTCAAACACGTATCGCCTCCCAGGGCCCGACACGTGAAGAACCTCCAGTTTCGGTCATGTCCTGGTGCTCGGAAATTCTTTCTGGCGATCGATCAAGGCTGAAGTAGGATGGAACACCATAATCCTGGGCGCTGCCCTCAGGGCCATCCCAGGAGCCGCCACGAGCGGCCCAGTTGCTCCCTAAGAGGCCCTCTGGAAGGTCCTACGTGGAGCCCTCCAGGACACCACAAGCTCGCTCCAGGATGCCCAAGATGGCCCCCAGACGGCCCAAGGGGCCCAAAGAAGCCCCAAGAGCGCTCCAAGAGGACCCCAAAGAGGGCACTAAGAAACACAAACAAGTAATGTGTCTGTTGCTTTTCTGTGTGTTTCGCATTCTCGAGCTTTCGGGCTCCAAGACTGCCCCAGAGGCCCCAAAGATCGCACCAAGACGGCCCGAGGCCAAGAGGGCCCCGAGACGGTCCAAGAAGGCCCAAAAACGGCCCCAGAGGCGCCCAAGATCACCCAAGAGAGCCCCAAGACGGCCCCCAGAGGGGCCCAAGAGGGTGAATACGAACCACCAATTCGAGCCTTCCGCCCCAAGAGGCCCCAATGAGGGACCCAAGGAGGCCCTCAAGAGAGCCCAGGAGGCCCCCCAGAGGCCCCACGAAGCCCCAAAGAGGCCCAAAAAGAAGCCCCAAGCGGGCTCCAAACCACCCCGCGAGAGGCCACGAACGCGCAAACAAACGCCTGCGATAGAACAATACGGGCCGGCGGAACGAGCAAAGCGATTGAACAATACTTTGCGCGGGCCCACAGGTTCAATTGAAAACTGAAGCGTTGTTCGTCTTTACTTATGTTGCTCCCATCGTACTTAAGGACCACATCCCAGAAATAATTTCGAGCACCTAGTACAATATCAAAACGGTGTCGAACGAGTATCGCCTCCCGGGGCCCGACACGCGACATCCCTCCAATGTCGGTGCGGTCTTGGTGCTCGAAAATCTCTCTGGTGATCAAGACGAAAATAAATTGGACCTTTACGGGCCCCCGAAATGGCGCCGTTTTTTCACCGATTCCAAAAAATTGTCCCTTGAAAATGGAAACGGCACAAAAACGGCGACCGGAAACGGCAACAACAACGGCTCCAGGATTGGAACTGGAGCCGGAACAGGTAAAAAACGGCGACGCAACCGGAAAAAAAACGGCGTCGGAACCGGCAACAAAAACGGCAAAACGGAACCGGTAAAAAAACGGCCCTGCCGTTTCCAGGGCCCACTAAGGGTCGGAGCATGAGGAGTCCTTACCCTCCTCCTGGCTGTGATGAGAGCTGCTCGTGCGGTGCTCGGCCGTGGGAGGAGGAGGAGGAGGAGGAGGAGGAGGAGGAGGAGAAGGGGGAGGCGGAGGAGGAGGAGTTGGAGTTGGAGATGGAGTTGGAGCTGGAGGAGGAGGAGGAGGAGGAGGAGGAGGAGGAGGCGGAGTTGGAGTTGGAGTTGGAGTTGGAGGAGGAGGAGGAGGTGCACTCGCACGGCGCACGCCCTGCCACTTCCACGCGCAGCCACTGGCCCACCTGCCTGCTGTGCCGCCCGCCCCTCGGCGGAGACCAGAAGAGAACACCGGTAGCGCTGCTCTCTCAGGTCGGGTGTGCCCCCCATACAGGCGGGCGGGTTTTGGACGAAACAACAAACATATGACACACATGCTCCAAACACATCCAAGCATAGTAGAGACAAAAAGTCGCTCCCTGACTGCTTCTTGTCTCTTGTTGAGTCTTCCTCCTGTAGAGGGACAACCCCGACGTCCTGCACACGCCCGAGCGGTGCCCGGCAGGCAGCCTGGCTCCCCTTTGAGCAGGGACCGACCGTCCCGGCATCCCTATAGTCCTGCCACGAAATGTTCTTAGAACACAAAGATGTTCTAATAACGAAAACAATGTTCTGAGAACATTAACCCGATGTGTTAAAAACAAGACAGGCTCCGCCAGAAATGTTCTAAGAACATTTCGTAGGAACCACAACAGGTTCTTAGAATATTGTTTGGTGGGGCTATAAGCGAGCCAGGACGCTTCGCCACTGCTTGACATACAGGCGGATGTCGGACGACAAATAAAACATACCCAAAAGATACTCCATCACACTAGCAAATGAGAAAAAAGGATCGCCCCTTGAGGATTTGTTTAAACTAGTTTTGAATGTTCCTCCTGTAGAGGGACACGCCCGACTCAACGCTACTCCCTGGACCTCTCCCGGGCTGCGGTCTGACCACGCGTCCGAATCATGTCCAGCCGGGGCGACGTGACAGAGACGGAAAGATATCGGTATCAGTGACCGCCGCCAAGCGCTGGCCATCGCTCGGACGTTTATTACCTATGTTTTTTTCTCGGTTTCGTGCGTGTTTTTTTCGCCAAGTGATCAAGGATGCTCCTCGATGGTCCTCGCCAAAGCAAAAATGCACACGTCCGAGCGATGCCAAGAGCGAGTTGCCTGAATCCCTGATCGCCGAGGGCAGGGTCCGGATTTCGCCGCCGACCTGCCCCGGCGCGCGAGCTCCCCGCCCTGGAACTCGTTGACGGGGCGCAGGCGCCCGTCCATCGAGGAGAAGGCGGCGAGCACGGCGGTCTTCACGCAGGGCGACGGAGAAAGCGACGGGCTGCAGCTGCAAGCGCACAGGCCGATCTGCAAACGAACACGGGCCGCCTCACTCGCGCTCCCATCTTTTCACCCATTCGGACGCCCATCTCTTCCCAATGAATGGCAACTTTGTGCCCCCGCGACAAAATTGGGCATACGAGGCAGGAGGGCCCCCGAATCGAATCGACAAATAGGACCAGCGATCGAGATGAATCGGATCGGCGGAGAACCGCAGCCGAGCCGGGAGGAGCCGAATCGGCAGAACAAGGGGCAGGCAAGCAGGGCAGCCACGGGGAAAACCCGAACAAGCCACACCGCAACCCGAAAAGGAACCGCGCCACAATCGTACCCGACCGACATCGAATCGAACCGAGTCGGCGCCGTCTTCGGGATCGGCGCCGTCTTCGGTGAGCCTCTCGTCGCCCATTGGCCTTCTGAGCGGCCCCTGGCGGCGCGGGCCAGCGGAGCTCGATCCGGCATGGCCGGAGTCGAGACGGCCACGGCATGGGGGGGGGATGACTTCCAGCTTGCCCTCTGGGCGGGTGCTGTTTGGCAGCGCGGCGCTTCCGAGCCAAGCCCTCTTTGAGCAGGGACCGACTGTCCCGGCATTCCTATAGTCCTACCACGAAATGTTCTTATAACCCAGAAATGTTCCAAGAACGAAAATAAGGTTCTTAGAACAAAAACCCGATGGTTAAAATAAGACAATCTCCGCCAGAAATGTTCTAAGAACATTTCGTGGGAACCACAAGAGATTCTTAGAACATTGCTTGGTGGGGCTGTAGGCGAGCCAGGACGCTTCCCCACTGCTTGGCCTTCGTCCATTTTTTCGTGGATCGCAGATCTGCGCGAAGGGTGGCCGCGCGCACGACGACGACGCGACCCCGGACGGCAGAGCTGCGCGGGCGGCCGGCGCGACACCGGGGGTTGGCGCGGCGGGCCCGCGCGCGAGCGTCCGCTCGCAGCCTGCACACGGGCGACGGGAAGAAGCGGGTCCCACGCGAGGTGACGCACTCAACCTTACGCCGCGGCTCTTACAAGCCTGGGACATATCCCTATCCTTATGATGGGCATCGCCTCCTCACGATGGTGATCTTGAAGATTTCCCCAGTTTCTGAGGGTGCATCCCTGAGATGGTCGTCTCCTTTCAGCGTGTCCATCTTAGGGATAGGGATCAATTCGAAGCTGGTGACTTGCGCGGGCCGCCAGCCGGGCACACCGCAAGAAGAAGAGGCCGCTTACGCGCAAACTTGCGCGCAGGAAGTTTTCGCCCGTATGTTTCTTTGTCGCTCATTCTATCTGTGGGGGGCAAAACAAAAACGAGTGCTGCGGGAAACGGGTCTCAGATCTCAGGGCCCTTCTCCCGGAGCAACTTGTCATCTCCTTCTGCGCTGTTCTTGCAAGCTCCTCCCAGGGACCCGTTCGTCACTTCACCCTGCGCTGATGTCTAAACAGCCCCTGGCCAGGGGGCCCGAGGAAAAGGCCCAGGGAGGCCCAGAACGGCCAAACCGATCTCAGCATCCGTTTCCCCCAGGACCCTCTCCTGATGCGGAGAATCCTGGAGGCCTCACGCGGCAACTTGAGATCCAATTCGGGTCAGGCCCACGCCACTGACGTCGGAGGCCCCGGCCCCCTTTTGAAGCAACGTGGGAGCCATTTGGAACAAGATGTCCCGATCCGCACCCTTGCGTGGAACACGCCTGCATGGGCCCCGCGCGGACCGCGCATCCACTCCTGGCTGCGGACGCAAGTGGAGCTTTCAATTCTCTCCACGCAACTCTCCGTCGCTCGGACGTCCATTCCCTGTGTTTGTTCGGTTTCGTGCGTGGTTTCTTCGCAGGATGATCCAGAATGCTCCCTAAGAATCCCCGCCGAGAAAAAGTGCACACGTCCGAGCGATACCAAGGCAATTCACTCACCGATACTACGTCGTCCCCCCTCCCCGGTTGAGCCCAGTGCCGTTGTGGCCGTGGGCCCCACCGCGGCGACAAGGTGCCCAGATCCCACGGTGGCGTCTAGTTGAATGAAGGGGCCCCAGGACACACAAATAAATACACACAAAACAAATAATTATAGTGTTTTCCGGGTTTTTGTCTTCCCCCCCAACTCCATAGTTTCCCATATTTTCTTGGGGATCGACAACTAATTGTGTCTGTGTGTTGTTTCCCCTCCTGATTGAAGGCGGGCTTGTGAGAGAAAACAGCGAATATCGACTAACAGCAACCGTTTACTAACGAAGCGGATAAACAAATACTATAAAATCACGAATCCAGTTCGTCTCAACAGCGAAGATCTCTGTTTGGAACTGTCGTTTGTTTCCCTCGGCCCGTCTTTCATTCAGAGGGAGCCTTCGTCGACCTTCCGCCGCGTGGCCCTGAAAGAAGAATGCGCGCAGCGGCGGCCATTATCTCCGACGCCCAACTCGGTCGAACTGCTATGACGCCCGCTCGCAACACCACTAGGGACTTGCGAAAGAACATCAATACACTTTTTGATCCGCAGGTCGAGAGCGCACCTTTTCCGGTCGAAGCTAAGCGGGCCGCGCGAAGCTTGAATTAGGCAAAGAAGAGGAGGGAGGAAGCGGAAAGAACATCAATACACGGGCAAATAAAAAACACAAGGTGCACCGCCTCCGAATCAAGAGACGGCCTAAACATCAACGGGTCAAGGCGCTTTGAAATTCTCGAGGGCGGGGACTGGGCCTCGGATCCGACTGGTGAGGATTTGCGTCGGATGCAGACCGGACTCATGAACGTAAGCTTCGCGGCGGATTCCCGTCGGAGCAGCGCCGCTTGACAGTCGACGCATCTATCTTGCGGAGCGAAAGTGTGGACTGGATTATGCAACTATTGCGCACCGCGGGAGGCCACGAGGAACTCGTCTCGCGGCCACCCCTTCCTGGCGAGCTTTCTACGCCGCCCCATGTCCAGCCAGCGCACCTCGCGGACCTCCGGCGCGGCCCGCTCCTTTAAGGGAGACGCAAGACTCGGGTACGGGGGACTCGGGTTGGCCTGACGGGGCCATCATAAAAATGACGAGATCCAATCTGCAATATGACGCGAAGAACTCTCGCTGCAAAGATCCCACGCAAACTGGACCGTCAAAATGCAGAACGCGCTCGTCAAGAAAATTGTGGATCTTCTGACCAGGGTCAATCCAGACCCGGGTCAATCAGGCCTTGCAGAATCCTGCAAGATCCTGCACCCAAACCCGGGTCAATGCGAAGGATCCTGCAAGATCCGGCAGGGTCCTGCACCAAACCCTGGTCAATGCGACCCTGGTCCTGCAGTATCCTGCAAGATCCAGCGCTCTGGCTGACCCCCGTTTGCACTGACCCCCGTCTCAAGGCTCCCGAAAAATGTTGGCAACCGGAGTTTCGGCTTACAGTGCGGGCGCGGCCGCAAGAAATCCTCGCAAGACACCCAACCCTGAGAACCCGTGCGCGAGGTGCACCTGAGGGGAAACACGGGAGCACCCTGAACGCAGCAGCTCCTCCAACGGCTGCGGGAAATCACCGCAGCCGCGCGAGGAGCGAAGAACCCCAGGATACCCGGACGAAAAACAGATGCCTTCTTGATGCGCGCTCCCACTGTACTCGAGCTTGAGCAGGGACGGACCGTCCCGGCATTCCTATAGTCCTACCTTGAAATGTTCTTAGAACCCCAACAGTGTTCTTAGAACATAAATCCGATGTGTTAAAACGAGACAGACCCCGCCAGAAATGTTCTAAGAACATTTCGTGGGAACCACAGCAGGTTCTTTGAACATTGTTTGGTGGGGCTATAGGCGAGCCAGGGCGCTTCGCTACTGCTTGACATACAGGCGGATGTCGGACGACAAATAAAACATACCCACAATATTCTCCATCAGACTAAGAAATAATAAAAAAGAGTCGTCCCCTGAGTAGTTTTAAAACTAGTTTTGACTTACGTTTCCCCGATCCTTCTCCCCGGCGGTGAGCTGCCAGAAGGCCCCGGACGCCACCAGGCCGGCGTGGCGCCGCCGGCGCTCGGCGAGGCGGGCGTTGCACCCGCCCACGTCCAGCGCCGCGAGCCAGGAGTTCTCCTCTCGGAGAGGAGGGGGAGGAGGAGGAGGAGGAGGAGGAGGAGGAGGAGGAGGAGGAGGAGGAGGAGGAGGAGAGGAGGAGGGGAGGAGGACGGAAGGAGGAGGAGGAGGAGGAGAGGAGGAGGAGGAGGAGGAAATGGGAAAGGAGGGAACGGAGGAGGAGGAGGTTGGAGGCGGGAGGGAGGAGGGAAAGGAGGAGGAGGAGGAGGAGAGGAAAGGAGGGGAAAGGAGGCGGAGGAGGAGGAGGACGAGGACGAGGAGGGGAGGAGGGAGGAGGAAAGAGGCCGAGTGAGGAGGGAGGAGGAGGAGGAGGAGGAGGGAAAATGAGGAGGAGAAAAAAAGGAGGAGGAGGAGGATGCGGAGGAAAGGAGGAATGAGGAGAAGAAAGGAGGGAAAGGAGGAGGAGGAGGAGAAGGGAAAGGAGGAGGAGGGGGAGGAGGAGGAGGAAAAGGAGGGCAAGGAGGAGGAGGAGGACGAGGAGGAGAAGGAGGAGACGGGAAAGGAGGAGGAGGAGGAGGTGGAGGAGGAGGTGGAGGAGGAGGAGGAGGAGGAGGCAAAGGAGGGGAAGGAGGAGGAGGCGGAGGACGAGGAGGAGGAGGAGGAGGAGTGACCAGAAGTGACCATGAAAGGACGAGCGTCCGCAAAACTAAACGGGTTAGGCGGGGACTAATCCGACGATGAGTCCCCGCCTTCACGGTGAGGGATCCTGGTGGGTCGGCGAGCCGCTCCACCCTCACCTCCCACACAGAAAAGGGGCTGCTGCATTCCACTCTCCTCCCGAGCCTCCCTCGCACGCTGGACCGCGTCCGAAGCTTCACGCTGCACTCTGGCCAGCTGCACCGCCTTCGGGGGTCCCCTGTGCGAAGGAAAAATGCCTCGACGAATCCTGTCAAGGTTCTGGGCTCCTTTGGGGGTGGGCTCCTGGCAAGGACGTGCGAGCCACCTACCATCCACTGTGGCGGTCAGCCCACAACAAACACAAAAATGCAGGGAAAACTCAGGCCAATAGAAGATTTTGTGGGACGAGTGGGCCGAGGTGGCCCCAATCAAAATCTCTCCAGTCCTCAAGACAAATTGGCTCCACTCCGACTTCTGACCTCGGATCTCAGGGGCCAGGCCTGGACAAGACTGAGCACAAAACTTGAGGAGCTGGGTGGAAGCCACAATCTGACTGCAAACCCTACAGCGCCACCTGCTCCCGACCTGCTCACAATCATGAGAGGTGTCCCTCAGGGCAGCAGCCTTCCTGGAGGGAGGGGGCACCCGCACTTTGGCGAGCCTTGTGGCCTGCCAAGGGTCAACCTGGAGTGAGCACTGCAACGCACGTCGGGCCCTGCGTCTGACAAGGTGGGCGATGCAATCATAGATGTCAGTACTGGGGGCAGGCTGGCGAGTATACAGGAGCAAGGCCTCGTCAGCCGCTTTACCCGCAAGGTCATCAGCGCACATGTTGCCAGCAGTGAGGAAAACTTGCCAAGCACTGAGAGCCTTGCCTGTGTCTTCTAGATGGGCAGCCGTCCACACGACCTGCACTTCAGCCGGGGAGGGAGGAGGAGGCGGAGGGAGGATAAGGAGGAGGAGGAGGAGGAGGAGGAGGAGGAGCCCCCGACTGGTGGCCCGAGGGGGCAGAATGTGCAGAAGGCACCCGTGCACCACCGCCACGCCCAGCCAGGGCCAAGAGGGGCCCGGGTGGTGGTGCAGGCACCCTCTAGGCGGAGGCCACGGGGGCCCGTGCACCATCCTGGGGCCCAGGACCCCTAAAGCGTCCCTGGGGCACACGAAGACGTGGGCACAAGTCCCGGGGTTCCTCACAGTTTGGCGCATGTTCTGGGTTTTCGTCTCCCCCCCCCCCCACTTCCCGTGTTTTCTCACATTTTCCGGGGCGTCGACGATTGGTTGTGTCTGTGTGTTTGTCCCCTCCTGAGCCTGCATGGCCAGGCGAGGCGGTGGTGCACAGAGAACCAGCCGCCCGAGGTCGGCAGGGCGGAAAACACGTGGGGACTGAACAGATCGATCCGCCAGAGGTCGGCGGCGCGCACAAGGGGGACATATACGCAGAAGGCGTCTATACGCCACCACCGTGCCAGGCCAGGGCCATCCTGGCCCTGGCATGATGTATACGCCCTCCTGGCCGAGGCCAGGAGGGTCTGTACACCATCCTAGGGCATAGGGTGGCCCTGGCCTGGCACGGTGGTGGTGTACAGGCGCCTTCGTCAGAGGGGTAAGGGGGGAGGGGGGGAAGGCTTCTTGGACGGAGACCACTCATTTCAGGGGGCGCAAGCAAGCCTTGCATCCACAGACAGGGCCCTCGCCATTCTGAGAAGCAGAGGAGCTTCCAAAATGTTCCCCCCTCCCCCTACAGGTCGGCCCGTGTCATAAGGACGCGTGATAAGGATGCAGGGGCCCTTGGACGCCCATGTCGGAGCTCCTCGAGCGGGGCGCGGCCGACGAAAGTGGCCAAGGACGGACCGAGGAGACCAGGATGCAAGGGCATCGTTGGGGAAGGGTGCCCATCCTTACCATGCGGGTTGACTGTGCCCCCTCTGGGCGTGGCCGAAGAGGTCTGGGGCGGGCGCACCCCCCACCCGACAAGGAGGGCACCAGCCATACTGAGTATCGATTATTCGATCCCCATCCCCAGCGGCATGGCCTGGGCCCCACTGGCCGATTTACCCCCCTAGATAGGGGGTATAGGCCGTACCCTTCGGGTTTCGAGGGGTGTATCCCCAACTGGGGTGGCAACTTGGTGGGGGTCTCGAAGGGGATGAGGATGGGGATGGGGGTCGGATGAACGATACTGATATACACAGCACAGATCCTGGCCAGTGGCCAGCCCTGGGCCGGGGAGTGGTGCGGCATGCCCTCCCAGCCAAGCCAGGACGGCGTATGCTCGGTCGAGCTTAAAGGGGGTCCAGCTGAAAGGGGGTGGCGCAATACGGTCGACCATGATAGTTAGAATGGGGCAATTTTCCAAGGCTACCATTGCATCCTTGCCCCTTCGGTATTCGGCATCCTTCGGTATTCTGCTGCGCTCCGCTAGGAAAACGTCAGCATGGCGGTCCAAGACCCTTGCATCCTTACCGCGCATCCTTACTATCCTGGTCGAGTGCAAAGCAAGGACAGTTGCACTGCAAACGTACTGCGCCGGAAAATGGCATCGCACTGCATTGCAACAAATATAATGCACGCGACAGTCCAGCAGCCCCTCTGCGCCCCGGGATGCATTGCACGTCCCACGTCTGCTGCAGTCCCCACAATACCTAGTGCACCGAATCCACTGCACCACCCGCCTCGTGCACCAAACAGACGATGCATCGATCTCTTTGGCCCAGGACCGGCGTGGCCGGGATGGCAAACATGGAGGGCAGCAGAACACAGAGGCAGAGACGGTCGGAGATGGCTTTCCGCGCGGACTTCTTGGGCCCGCGCCGGTAGAGGCCTCCTAGATGGGATCCGAGTAGATGGGGTCGGAGGATAGCGCCGCATCGACGATACATCGACGATGCATCGGCGATGCATCGGCGATGCATCGGCGATGCACCAGCGATGCATCGTCGACGTCAGCGATGAATCGGCGACGTCGACGTGAAGCAAATCGGGCTCCACATCGAGCCGCATCGGCGATGCATCGGCGATGCGGCGCGCTCCTTCGACCCCATCTACTCCGGCCCCATCCGGGAGGCCTAGAGCCGGTCCCCCCCCCCCTCCTCTGGTGCCCGAGGCGCACCGGGCGGACGGGCCCTGGACCCCAAGGCCTTCCCCGGGGTTGTGGGTGCAATGGCAATGGACACTCTAGCAATCCGATCATTGAATCAAAGATGTGTTTAAAATGTATAACACATGTTCTAACAATATTGCAAGCATGTGTTTAACCTATTTGATATCGATTGGAAACATGCTTTAGACATCTGGGAATGGCTGGGCAGCATGCTTCCTCTCCATTCATCGACTTCCACATTCCCTAGAAGGCCTCCTGGATGGGGTCCGAATAGACGGGGTCGAGGCATCGCGCCGCATCGCCAATGCATGGCCGACGTCGGCGACGCATCGGCGATGCATCGGCGACGTCGGGGTGGAGAAAAGCGGACTCCACATCGGGGATGCGGCGCGATCCTCGGAGCCCCTCTACTCGGACCCCATCTGGGAGGCCTCGACATCCCCCACGACCAGCTCCTCGTCCTGGGCCATCATCCGACAGCCCCCGGGCCCGTGGAGAGCCCCGAGAGCCCGAAAACAGAGGAAATCCTCAGAACCCGCTTTCCTCGGGACCCGCTTGCTTCGTGGGTCATCCCGCTTCTGGATCACAGCTAGGGTTGTGGATGCCATGACAATGGACACTCTAACACTCCGATCATTGAACAAGGCATGTGTTTAAAGAGTGTGACATATGCTCTAAAAATGGTTCCAACATGTTGTTACATCTGTAAAACATGCTTGAAACAAGTTTTAGACACCTGGAAATTATTTGGCAGCATGCTTCCTCTCCATTACTCGACCACCACAAAAATAGAGTCTCAGGCCTCCGCTCGGGGGGTCGCCCTGGGCGAGGCGCAGCTGCTGGAACGCATCCCGAGGCTGCAAAACCGCCGAGAGACGACGCAAGCATCCGAAAACCTCGGACCCCGAACCTGGCAAGACCCGCTTCCCTCAGGACCCGCCTGCCTCGTGCCCCGAGGTTGGAGCACCGCCGAGAGCGAACCAGAACAGCCGAAGACCTCGGACCCCCGCACCTGGCAGGACCCGTGTCCCTCAGGACCCGCGTCTGCCTCGTGCCCCGAGGTCGGAGTACCACCGAGAGCCGACGAGAGCATCCGGAAACCTCGGGCCCCACACCTGACAAGGCCCGTGTCCCTCGGGACTTCTGTTGCTCCCATCGTACTTGAGGACCACATCACAGAAATAATCTCGAGCACCCAGATGAGTGCCGAAACGGCGTCGAACGAGTGTCGCCTCCCAGGGCCCGACACGTGAAAACCCTCTCAAGCTTCGGTCCTTCCTTGGTGCTCGAAGCTCTTTAGGGTGCTCAAGGCCGAAGTAGGCTGGACGAT